CCCACGGCTGGAGCCTCAGGTTTAAGATAGCACAGAGCACACTGACTTCTTCCTTAGGATTGGAAGAAGTTTGGTCTCTCTGCCCAGCAGAACTCCTAAACTAAGCTGAAATATCAGGTTATAGGAATTACAAGCATGCGCGCTAAAAGGTACAGGGAGATACACAGAGGGTACAGAAAATGTATAAAAGGATATAAAAGTATATAAAAGGGTACATAAAAGGGAAAGGCAAAAATCATCAGGCATCACTGGGACTACAACAGAACTTTTTACCCACTGTCTTCTCCTCTCTAGTCCTGTGCTGACCACAGACATTTTGTCCTTTTCTCTTGCATTGCAGTGAACCTTAAGAAAGGGATACAGGTACCAAGAAATGAGGATATGGCTGAATTTTTTGCTAAGAGTTGCATTTCTTCTGTTTAGACAGTGATGGAAGGGAAAATAAGTAATTGAAAAAACCCTGAGTAGATCTGAGGTTTGAGCATTAGAAGGGACATATGTATCCCAAAAGGGAAATCCTTAGGGAAATAACATGGTGAAGTTTCTACTTTTTCATTTTTCTTTTCATGTGGTCCAGTGGCCAGAAGACATGAGTTCATCATCTTTCCAAGGAGCCTTAAGTGGTAAGTGTGCCCATAAGTAAGTGTGGACTCATGGATCCCTTTGCTCCTGTCTGTGGCCATCCCTGGCGTTCCTCGGGATGCAATGTGCTGTTATCCCTGGAGAAGGGAGGCCAGTGGAGGTCTCTCCCCAAGCATGGTACCTGCAGAACCCCTCCCAGAGCCCAGCAGGAGGCCTGGCCTTGGGGTGGGATGGATTGGGCCAGAGGGGTAACCTTCTCTGACAAGAGACACGTCCTGCTCTGACAGGGGTTGTTGCTGAGCGAGGCWTTGAGGGTCAGGCTGAAATGAATGTGCCGAGGGACAGTGAAGAGACCTGGGAGGTCCCTGTCCACTCGTGGAGGGTGAAGGAGGAGCGTGTCACCCTCTGGTGGGTGGCTGTGCCCTGGTGGCACTGTGCTGAGGCGCCTGTGTGGTGCCTGAGTGCCGTGGCAGCCCAGGGAGCTCCCTGACCTGGGAGAGCCTCAGTGGGCCCCGAGGGTCAGAATCCCAGCACTGCTGTGGGGCTCCTGGGTCACAGGACCTCCCAGCTCCTGGGCAGGCTCATGATGTGTTCTGCCCCAGAACCTGCTCAGTGCAGTCCTGGAGCTCTGTAGGGAAAGACCCTTGTTAAATGTCCTTTTTCTTTTTGATTTTATTTTCATATGAACCTGATGTCCAGTGGCAGTGGCAGTTGGTTACATGTTGAAAACATATTGGGACCAGAAAAAGGAAGAAAGAAGTAAGTGTGCTGGATCCCTTTGCTCCTGTCTGTGGCCATCCCTGGGGTCCCTCGGGATGCGATGTGCTGTTATCCCTGGAGAAGGGAGGCCAGTGGAGGGCTCTCCCCGAGCACGGTATCTGCAGAACCCCTCCCAGAGCCCAGCAGGAGGCCTGGCCTTGGGGTGGGATGAATTTGGCCAGAGGGTGACCTTCTCTGACAAGAGACACGTCCTGCCTGGACAGGGGGTGTTCCTCGCCATTGGTAACGTTTTCAAAGACACAGCCACATCCCCTCTGGGATTTCCTTTCCCTTGTTTGAGCACTAAAGCAGGAATATCATCCTGGCTTTCCTGCAGGGGCAAAAGGCAGAAGCCTTTCTGTGCAGGTGAGTGCCAGGCCTCACCCACACCCCCTGGAAACCAAACCCTGCCAAGCAAGAAGGAGATCCAGGGCCTGTTGTGCATGAGGGCCCGGTGCAGTCAGATCAAACAATCCCAGGTGTCCATAAATCCCCACTGCCAAAGGCCTCCAGCCCCTCCTTTGTTTGTTCCCCATCCCCACGCAGGTGCCCAGGGCCCCAGGCTCGCGGGGTGCAGAGCTGCCCTGGCACGGGGCTTTTCCAGCACAGACCAGGACAGCCTGGGCTCTGCTGGATCCCATCCCCTGTGTTCTAAGGCCAGCTCTTCCCCTGGCCCTGCTCTTCCAGCTGGGATGGTGGCAGGGCCATGCTCTGCCCTCAAGGGGCTCTTGGAATTCACCATGGCCAGGGCTGTGCCCTGTGGCCAGGCCTTCGGGCAGTGAGGAGGCCATGGGGTTCCTCTCAATGTTCCTCACAGCAGCACAGGAGCTCCAAGCCATGTTTAGAAGGGCTCTCAGTGGTGCTGAGGCTCCTTTCAACAGGAAAAAGCTGTTCGGGAGAAAGTCTCCATGTCAGGAGGAACATTGGGGCTACAGAAGGGAGGCCAAGGCTCCTTCCCAGAGCAAACTCCTGTTGAAAAAGGATTTGAAGGCCAGGGAAGAGAGAAGTCTTGCCCACAGGTGCATCAGCATGTGAATGCCCCATCTCGATTTTCAGGAATGAGTGATTTCTTCCCCAAGGCCACTGAATTAGAAAGTGTTCTCTAAAGAACAGTTCTGGAGCATACAAATTGATAAACAGGCAGGACATGAGGTAACTGAGTCTGAGCTTCTTGTTTCCTCTCTGTATAAAGAAATAAAGAAAAAAAAAAAAAGGAATCCCTTTCCATATTGCACCTTGATCACAAAGTTTAATTCCTCTGAAATATTTCTCTAGAGAGAGGAAGAAAAGAACCAACCTGCAGCAAGACCTAAGCAGAGACCCTCAAGAAGAGACTTTAAACCAGAGGATTTTAGCTTCCTCAGAGAGGATGGGTGGTCTTCGCTCTAATGGAACACTGTCTCCCACTGATGCCAATCTTCTTGTACAGGAAAGAAAGAGAGGGAGCAGACCACAAAGGCCCTTGAATCCAAGATGAATGAGGCCCACCAGAAGCTCAACAGCAAAATGAAAGCTCTGCATGAAAATTTCCAAAACCTACAGGAGTCCGCACTGCGTGAGGTTCAGCTTCTCAGAGCAGATCCGGAGAAGATTCAAGGTGAGCAGGGCCATTGCCAATCAGATTTTCATCCCTCTGAAAGCAAAAGCTGCTCTACAGCCCAACCACCCTGTGAGCTCATCCTGCTCAGCTCCTCAGAGGGGATGGGGAGGGACATTCCTCACATGGGAACAGCTTTTGTGATCCATGGCACTGAAACAGCTCCACGCTGAAGTGTTCTCAGGTGCAGATGGTCAAAGTCCCTCCTCTGTCCCTCACCTTTGCAGAGAGTGTGTGCTGGGAGTTCTCTCACTGCCTGGTCCTTGTCAAGG